GATAACGTAGCTACGCTAGTTTTCTCGAGATCTCTATCATCTGTTCTCATTAATCTCACTATGAGATAAATGAGAACAGACTTTTTTGTTAGGGCTCTTCAAAATAGAAGCTCGCGTTTTGTCATTTTTTAATAGGAAACAATGAAATTAGTATCAAATTGTGGAGAGAAATCTTTTTCTATCTGCCGGCTAAAAAGTTTTCTAAATCGAATTTAAAACAAGGCTAGAAAATAGGTTTTGGTAGTTCGAGTTATTTTACATGTGATGTGTATTTCAGTCTGCTCCGTGCATTGCCTTCGCCCTGCCATAGCATCACCAGAGTGATGCCTTATCACGAGCATGAATAAAACAGGAGTGAAATTCATTCTTCCTTAAGTGGTGATTTCCTTTTCATTGATCTTTATGTCTTTCATGGCAAGATTAAAAAATGAGCGACGTTAATTAGTTTTTTCGAGAGGAAAACGTTGTATTCGATGGTATGAATGATCGGCGACATAGAGTTGGCCTTGTTGATCGAAGGACAAACTCCAGGGACAGTACAACTCACTTGCGTCTTCTTCTTTACTATCTTCATCCCCAATGATAGTACCCTCTGTCGCTCCTTTAGGCCAACGCATAAGTCGATGATTTCCGTAGTCTGCTACATAAATGGTCTCCATCGTATCGACGAACAATCCTCGAGGAAATCCCCGAACGACAACAATTCCTTCTGTTGCATCTTTAGTCCATTTCATCACACGATGATTCCATGTGTCTGACACGTACACATTCTGTTGTCGATCGACAAAGATGTAGGTCGGCTTGTTGAGTTGATTAAGACCAGCACCACGTCCATGGCCACCAGCCACAACAGTTCCATTCTTCTCTCCTATTTGATATCGTCTCACTTCATCTTTTTCGATATCAGAGATATAGAGACATCTCTGATCATCCATGACCAATCCCCAACATGCAATTTTTTCGAGAAGTATTTCTCTCTGCATGGTGCGGTCATCACGAGACCATTGTACGACTCGATTATTCCCTCGATCACAGATAATCAGACTATTTGTCTCTTTGTCAATCAATACATCGGTTGGACAATTCAACTGATTTGGTTGTTTCCCTTGGCCATTGCCACCAGCTACGACTTCACCATTTGTATCACCCATTCTCCATTGGATGATACGGTGATTGCCCCAGTCAGCGATAACTATTGTTTGATCATTGTCGACGACGAGACCATAAGGAAAACACAACTCATTCGTGGCACTGCCTAATCCGAACCCTCCAGCGACAGTCTTGCTATGCTCTGCCGATCCTGTATTCAATGAAATATAAAGAGTGACTATAAATGAACGAACAAATAAAAAGGAAACCATAAGTTAGATATCTTTCTCCGAAAAAATTTTTGTGAAACATTCGAAACTATTTTTCAAAAGTGCTGACAAACATTCTTCCCCAAAAAAAGAGACGTTTTAATCTCATTTGGTTTCATACTGTTCATTGTTTGACATAACAAGAAATGACCTGTCTCGATCCTATATCAAATTCTACGTGATTTCATGTTAGCGAGATTTTACCCAAGAAGACAAACAAATTAAAAAAAGTGTGAAAATCCTATAGAAATTTTGGCCATTTTCAAATGCTAATCGCGGTTCCCTATTGTCATCCAAAAATGTCCAAAATATTTTACGGCATCTGATATTTAGCGTGATAATGCGTCACTTTTTGGATATACTCTCAAATAAAAAAAAATCGGTCATCTACCTGTCTGCGTTGCTGTGACAAAATCACTAACGGATCGGATGATCGGATCTTCATGAATTTCCGGTAATCTTCCAGCATTAAAACCTGTAGATGTTCCGACAGTCGGCTTGTGTCAGAAACTGTACTAGTGGAAAATTACGCTTCTGTCGAATTGCGTCGGAAAATGTAGTGCTGACTTTCGAGTGGTGATCTCTTAGCCAATCAGAATTCAAAAACAGTTTTCTCTTATTTTTGATAAGGAATAGTCATAGTCATCTACTTGACTATTCATGTGTAATAACTTTCTATCTAAGTTGCTAAGGTCAAAGTTATGCTTCTGTGGAATTTCGTTAGAAAAGGTGATACTGATTTCTGATTGGCTAAGGGATAGTCAATTAGAGTTTAATATAGTTTTTCTGGTGTGTTGTACTGGTTGAACATGATGTTGCTCAGATCAATCTAGGGGTTAGCTGAGATCTTCAATCGAATCATCCAAGATGAGGTTGTGATATTAGGACTGCAGCTTTTCGGTGTCGAAAAGGCAAGTAGCTATTTGGTTTTTTTTATTTGTTCTTAGATGTGGATAAGTCACTCCCTTGGACGTATCATGAAGAAACACTGCTCGAATAAATTTTCGTGATATATGACCGTTGTCTATGATTTTGGATATTGGTGAAAAATCGAATGCGAATCATGTTGATGGTATGAGTAATGTATTTGATTTGGAAGATGCTATTGTTGTAAAGAGAGGCCTATGAAAGGCATATTAGAACAATCGGCTTTGTCGTTTTGGAATCTTAACATATCTGGTGATGACATAGTCTTCTGTTTAATCGATGCTCAGCGCTCATTGTGTAATATTAAGTTTTATTGATTCTTTAGTACAGCATCCTGTCGATTGACAACGGTAGGATCCTATCGCTGAGATGCAGTAGGATTTCATCGGCTGTCGATAGTGAGATCCAACCATATCCAAAACGGTAGGATCCGAGCAAGTTTCACTAGCAACATCCGATCGAAGCTGAAATCCAACGGAATCCAATGTGATTCCGTTACCCGGTTTCCGATAATATTCTCCTAGGATACAATCGGATCTTATGAATTCTGGTGGGATCCCATCGGATTCCTACTGGATCCTATCGTGCCCGACTGTGAGATTGGTAAACCTGGCCATGCGTTTTAATGCTTAAAAAAACCAGCTTTTTCAAGGATTTACCTGCATTTTTCTAAAATCTTGTCTCTCTGGGTACAGGGCAAGTGAAACCAATTATTACTTTTAATGGAACACATGTCAGTATTTACCAAAAAAAGTGATATCGAATTTTCAAGTGCCCTTTGGTTTTGGAACCGTAGGATCGAGGCTAGGACTAAAAAAATTCATTTTGCAGCTTTCTTCCTCTCACTGCATACCAATCTTTTCAAAGGTATCAAAATGTGCAATTTAACGTTTTTTTTTGAACGAAAGAGACCTTTGCATATGAATGAGAAGCTCGTTTAAAATGGAATCAGTCTCGAATCATGATTCTGATTAGGCTTACACCGAACCCGAACGTTCGGGTTCGGGAGGTGTCGACCGAACTCAGACAACGTCCAGCATCCAAATGATTCTCGTGACATTTCTGGAGACATATCACTAGTCATGCACTAAGCACGTACGAAACGGGTAACCGGACATATGATGTCTTCTAAGAATATCCCCGGAAACTCGATTATGTCCTAGGGTAAGAGGTATAGGAGGTATAGGAGGTATAGGAGGTATAGAGGTATAGGAGGTATAGGAGATATAGGAGGTATAGGAGGTATAGAGGTATAGGAGGTATTGGAGGTATACGAGATATAGGAGATATAGGAGGTATAGAAGGTATAGGAGATATAGGAGGTATAGGAGGTATAGAGGTATAGGAGATATAGAAGGTATAGGAGGTATAGGAGGTATAGGAGATATAGGAGATATAGGAGGTATAGAAGGTATAGGAGATATAGGAGATATAGAAGGTATAGGAGGTATAGGAGGTATAGGAGATATAGGAGATATAGGAGGTATAGGAGATATAGGAGGTATAGGAGGTATAGGAGGTATAGAGGTATAGGAGATATAGAAGGTATAGGAGATATAGCAGATATTAATTAAGTAGTGCAGATAATCTTTATACAGTGCTTGACTTTGAATAGTGATTCAGTCAGATATATTCATTCAAGTTATCGATCCTTGCTCGAAAAAATCAATCATAAAAAATAAATAATTGTTTACTGTGCCTTCTATATCTCATTCGACTTATCGATCCTTGCTCGAAAAAATCAATCATAAAAAATAAATAACTATTTACTGTGTCTCCTATACCTTCTATATCTAATTCAACTTATCGATCCTTGCTCGGAAAAATCATTTTATAAAAAAAAAAAATGTTTACTGAGTTTCCAATACCTCCTATATCTCCTATACCTTCTATACCTCCTACACCTCTATACCTCCTATACCTCCTGTACCTCCTATATCTCCTATACCTCTATACCTCCTATACCTCCTATACCTCCTATATCTCCTATATCTCCTATACCTCTATACCTCCTATACCTCCTATATCTCCTATACCTCTATACCTCCTATACCTCCTATATCTCCTAT